TCTTTTGTCAGATATTTGACTTATTTTTACTCAGAAACGCAGATCTGCATTGATGACTGAAAGACATCTTCTGCCTCCATTTATCTGTTTATTACAGTCTGTTGAATTCATGTTAATGTGGATTTAAAGATGTTTCAATTAGTGGAAAATATTGCAGGGGGGAATATAAGTCTAATTAACCAAAACTTGGCGACCCCCATGCAGTACCTCTGCGGACCCCCTAGGGGTCACGGACCCCCTGTTGAAGACCTCTGCTCTAGGTTATGTTGGACCAAAAAAACTCACTCTCAGAGTTTTTCGTGAATTTCTTCTAGAAGCACTTTTGTTATTTTTCTTATTATATTTGGGAAAGTTGGTGTTTCTTGTTATTACTTTAACATTAATTTTCACCATCAAAATATCCATATTTTGTGAAAGATCCAAAGGTAATAAGGTCTTGTCCTGGATTCCAGTAACACTATTGGCTTGAAATTTTAATTAGTATTTCGCTGAGTGCCCTATAAAGGGTTAACATCTTTGGTGTTGTCATGACAACCAGCTAGATGCCTTTACTGATCTCTGCTTCAGACCAGAGAAGGTGGGAACTGGTGTGAAAGTTTGATCCGTTTCGTCTGCTGATGCTTCTTGAAGAAGAGGAAACTCTCTCATCTCACCTCCTGCTTCCTCCAGCAAACCCAGCAGACCTGCTTCACAGGCGGCGCCGCTTCTGCAGAACTCCACGATCTGCTTAAACTCCGCGTTCAGGTAGGACTCCTGAGGGGGAGCGGACCTCAGGTGAGAAGTCTCAGCAAAGCACAAGCAGAAGCAGGTGATGAAGTGAGCCGTTTGGTACCTGCAGATGGTAGACGTGCGGATGGAGAGGCTGGTACGTGCTTTTTATGGCGGCTGATCTTTCAGCTGACGCCTCACATAGACGCCTCCGTCTGTCCACCTCCTGGGAAATCTGAAATTGGAATCATTTCAGATCTGAGGAAAAGAACCGAAACAGAAACTCCCTCCGCAGCCGTCAGCTGAAAATCCAGGATTCTAACTTCAATTCAGTTTATTTCTATAGCGCTGATTCACAACAGGTCATCTCAAGGCACTTTACAGTTCAGCAGATCATAGATTATACAGATGAACTTCCTGTCAGCACTTCCAAATTAAAAGCCCCCCAATCAGAGATTGAAAAAATGCAACTGAAATTTTTGAGTTAAAAGTGGAATAATTACCAGAATAAATATACAAATTTATAAAATGAAAACATACAAATATGAGAGAAAACTCAACTAATTGTGAACAGAGTGAGATTATAATACAGATTAAAGTATGCTACATAAAGCACATGCAATGCATCATTAATGGGGGGGTTATAGACGGTACAATGGCCTCCTCATGGAAGTTTTTAAAGTACAAATTTTTTATATTATAAATTTGCATGTTTTTACTCTCGTAAATTTAAATGTTTGTTTGTTTGTTTTTTTGTAAATTAGCCTTTTTATTCTCGTATATTTGCAGCTTGTTTCCTCCTGGGAAATTAGAATAAACTGGTTTTACCTGGTCTGGATTTACTGGACCTGCTTTTCCAGTAATGAGTTTTTAAACCAACACCTTAATAAATATATATGTATATATTGATTCCTTCATTCCTTTAATTACTTCTTCATTCCTTTACTCATTCATATTTGAGGGAAAATAGTTCTCAGTTCATAAAGAAATATAATAAACAATATTTAACATGTTTATTTACATTCTATTAACTCAGTGACGTCACTTCCGTTCAGTCTGAGAGGATTTTCTTTACCTTTGACAGAACATCTCCAAACTGCTGCTCCGTGATGCAGCCCAGCCTCTTCAGCAGCTGGAAGCGGAGACAGAATAATCCAGATTAATTCACCATCAGAGCCCCCCCGGTAGGAGCCAGAGCTGGGGCCCCAGGGACTCACCGGCTGGTAGTCCAGTCTGAACTGCTGCTCGGACACAAAGCGGACATGAAGCCGGAAGTCTTCCAGGAAGAAGTTATCGGTTAGGAAGCAGCTGCACGAATAAAACTTTGACTTTCTGTCAGCCTCGTTTGACATTTTCTCTCTGAGGAAAACAACCGAAACTGAAAACAGCTGACATTCAGCCAACTTCCGGTTAGCACTTCCGGTCAGTCCTCTTCCAAATTAAAAGCCCGGCAATCAGAGACGGGGGGGGAAAAATGCATCTAAAATGTTTGAGTTTAAAGTGGAATTATTATGAGAATAAACAAACACATTTATTCAATTAAAACATAAAAACATTAGAGAAAAAGCAGCAAATTAGTAAGGAAAAAACACGAACATTTAGGAGAAAAAAGTAGCAAATTTTAAACATTTACATGTGTGGAACAGTGCGAGATTATAATACAGATTAAAGAATGCTACATAGAGCACATAAAATGCATCATTAATGGGGAGGGGGGGCTTTAGAAACGATAAAATGGCAGTAAAAATTAATTATATTATAAATTAGCATGTTTATAATCCCGTAAATTTGCCACTTTTAAATTACTCTATGTATGGTCTGGGGGGCATCAGTTGATGTTATATTTTCCTCCAGAGGGGGCGCTAACACAAAAACAAAAACGGAAGGCGATCCGGCCCATGAAGAAGAAGGTGGAAAATATTGAGTGCGCACCATTCTTAATCCGGCAAAGCATATGTGAAGGGGAAAGCGGGGTTTGTAGAGTTGAGCTGTGAATCCTCAGATGATCCAGTCCGTGTAGAAACCAGGAGGCAACTTCCGGTTCATTTATATTGTTGGATTTGAATTCTACAATAAACCCAGATCGCTCACCTTAAAAATTCATTTAAATGGATAACTCCTCCCACGCCTCCTCGTTACTTTTACTCTGTTCGTCCTCCGTCAGAGTGTAAAGGAACGCACCCAGACATCCGCTGGCTCCTCTGTGGGATTGTAATCCCAGGCTGTAATCCTCCAGCTGCTGGGATTGTTCGGTGTTTCCCTGCAGGGAGGCCGGTGGGCCGGTGGGGCTCCTTTCTGCTCCTCCGGGTGTACCTTCTGCGTGGGAGATGCTGAGTGTGGACAGCTTACAGGTGGCTGAGGAGGAGGTGGTGGAGTCCAGCTCCAACAAACTCTCTGACATTTACACGTTCGTGGCCAAAGGCAGCCTCCCTCTGACCATGAATCCTCTACAGAAGAAGAATTTTAAAAGATACGCCCAGAAATTCATCTTTGAAGGTAAGAGCAGCTGCTAAACCCCGCCCACTTCCTCCGCGATGACTGTCAGTCTAACTTTGGCTCATAAAGTTTCAACTGGGAGTTTGCATTCATTCACTCATTCATTCTTCATGCATTCATTCACTTATTCATTCCTTCATGCATTCATTCACTCATATCTTCATGCATTCATTTCTTCATGCATTCATTCCCTCATGCATTCATTCACTTATTCATTCCTTCACTTATTCATTCACTCATTCATTCCTTCATGCATTCTTTCCTTCATGCATTCATTTATTCACTCCGTCATTCCTTCATGCATTCTTTCCTTCATGCATCCATTCCCTCATGCATTCATTCACTTATTCATTCCTTAATGCATTCATTCTCTCATTCATTCCTTCATGCATTCTTTCCTTCATGCATTCATTCATTCACTCCGTCATTCCTTCATGCATCCATTCCCTCATGCATTCATTCACTTATTCATTCCTTAATGCATTCATTCTCTCATTCATTCCTTCATGCATTCTTTCCTTCATGCATCCATTCCCTCATGCATTCATTCACTTATTCATTCCTTAATGCATTCATTCTCTCATTCATTCCTTCATGCATTCTTTCCTTCATGCATCCATTCCCTCATGCATTCATT